AGGACATTATTCCACCGTGCTAGGAAGATTTGTTCCATCGACACGCTACAAGCTGAGTTTGATACGATTAAACAAACACTGCTTTCTAATGGATATCCAGGTGGCTTTATTAAGTGCCATTGCCAGCCGCCTAAACCAGTTACCTTAGAAATGTCGGTGCCAAAAAAAACTAGCCTATATACATCTAACGTTTCGGGGAGACGACGTCATGCAACGTATATATGACCGACTCAAAACAGCAGTCCGTCAAACCTTTTACGCAGCCATGCCTGTTATGAGATTTAAAACCACCAGGATTCCTACACCACCAGTAAAAGAACCAGTGTCGACGTACGCCAGATCTAACTGTATATACCAATTTAAATGCACCTGTAACGCTGCATATGTGGGCAGAACTGATCGACGACTGGAACAACGGGTTGCTGAACATATTCCACTATGGTTGGTAAAAAGCAATGCAGAACACTAACACCTCAACAACAACGAATCAGGTAACTTGTCGAAATAATCCATCATCAGCAATTGCGTGCCATATTCTAAATTCCGGGCACATCATTAACAGGGATGATGCATTCCGAATTATTTACAGTTCGGCTAACCGTAGATTACTTCGATACGCGGAAGCTTCAGCGATTGGCAGATTGAAACCGGAACTTTGTAGGCAAAAGGAAATGGTCGTTGCCCTACGTTTACCTTGGTGAAACAGTTTGAAATCTACTCGAATTTGTGTTTCAGTTTCTAGGATTCAGCTATTTGCTTCATTTTAATTAATTGTTACTGAAGTATGCACCTGATGAGATACAGCGAAATATGCCAGGCAATAAATTGTGCAGTCTATTGTTTGTGTCTTCTTTGTTCAAATTTACAACGGGGAAACATTGCTTTGATTATTTGAAACGTCGCCTCCCACAATCAACTGTGAAGCGACTGGATGGATTATTTAAACTGAAATGCAAAATCGCAGTACAGGATTGTCGGTTACGGTTTCTTGGAGAATGCCTTACATCTGGAATATTTCCTCACCGTTATCTTAGATCGCTGAGAGCTGAGAAAATCTGCCCAACGGTACGAAATTTGAGGCGAATGACGAAAAAATTACATTGAAGAAATCCAATCGAAATTGATCAATCTAAGGCGAATTCACAGTTCGGCCTACAGTATTACTAACGATCTGACTTTGTATTGTTATTTAAAGTTCACAAAGTTTTGTATTGAAACATTGGGTAAAGTGAAAATTCAAGAAACTACACGTTTAAAGAAGTCATTGAGTTCGGAAAAGATTACCACTTCTGTGCTTGACAATGCTGAGAAACATGTGATTAATCTGTCTTCGTTTACACTCAGTAAACTACAAACTGAAGCTCTTGCTTACGGATTAAAGTTCTGCGTAAAACCTAAACAAATCAACCCCATCGAGTCACAAGCTCAATTTGAAATGTTCTTTGATCAGCTGTCGACATTGACCCCGTCGTCTACCGATTCGGTTGGTTGGTTAAAAGCTAGATTGGTGGATTTGGAACATCAGTACCGCACATCCCAGTCTAAGCAAAAGTGTCCATTATCTAAAGAGCATATTATTGCTCTGAAAACATTAAAAGCCAACGAACAATTAATAATACTGAAACCAGACAAAGGAAATGGTGTAGTTCTGATGGACAAGTCAAACTATCAAACCAAAATGGAAGAAATATTATCTGATCAATCAAAATTTCTGCTGGATTCCAAAGTAAATTACGTTAATAACATGGAAGCGAAAATGAAGAAAGTAATCAAATCACTCTTGGCAGGAAAATTCATCAGCGAAGCTACCGCTAAGATGCTCACACCGTGTGGCTCACTAATACCGCAGTTGTATGGTCTTCCAAAAGTACACAAACCTGGAATGCCCCTTAGGCCCATCCTGTCAATGATAAACTCAGCTCAACATGGTTTAGCTAAATGGCTAGCGGAATTACTAAAACCAGTACGACAATCATTTGAGCCCAAAATACTCAAAGATTCATTTGAACTGGCAGAAATACTGGACACAATGAATGTAAATCAAAAATACATGGCATCAATGGATGTAACATCACTATTTACAAACGTGCCCTTGGAAGAAACCGTGAAAATTATATGTGACCGTATAGAAAATAAACATCTGCAGGTAGGTTTACCTATTTCAAAACTTGGGGAACTTTTAATGTTGTGCACTTCGAACATCAATTTCAGTTTTCTAAAGCAGTCTTACCGCCAGATTGATGGTGTGGCCATGGGAAGCCCTCTAGGCCCTATTTTAGCGGACATCTTTATGGCACACTTGGAGGAACAGATGTCTTTGGATATTGATAGTTTAGTATTTTACCGACGTTACGTTGATGACATATTTATCATCGCCACTAACAAACAACAGGCAGAGTCGTTTCACACCAAAATGAATCAAATGCACAAAAACATCACTGTGTCCCTACAACATGAAAGTAGTAACACTTTGGCCTTTTTAGACATTTTAATCAGACGTAGAGATGATGGTACTATTGAAAGGTCAGTTTTTCGTAAAGACACTTGGACGGGCCAATACATCCATTTCAACAGTTTTGCACCTTTGCAATACAAACGTGGTCTAGTGAGGACATTATTCCACCGTGCTAGGAAGATTTGTTCCATCGACACGCTACAAGCTGAGTTTGATACGATTAAACAAACACTGCTTTCTAATGGATATCCAGGTGGCTTTATTAAGTGCCATTGCCAGCCGCCTAAACCAGTTACCTTAGAAATGTCGGTGCCAAAAAAACTAGCCTATATACATCTAACGTTTCGGGGAGACGACGTCATGCAACGTATATATGACCGACTCAAAACAGCAGTCCGTCAAACCTTTTACGCAGCCATGCCTGTTATGAGATTTAAAACCACCAGGATTCCTACACCACCAGTAAAAGAACCAGTGTCGACGTACGCCAGATCTAACTGTATATACCAATTTAAATGCACCTGTAACGCTGCATATGTGGGCAGAACTGATCGACGACTGGAACAACGGGTTGCTGAACATATTCCACTATGGTTGGTAAAAGCAATGCAGAACACTAACACCTCAACAACAACGAATCAGGTAACTTGTCGAAATAATCCATCATCAGCAATTGCGTGCCATATTCTAAATTCCGGGCACATCATTAACAGGGATGATGCATTCCGAATTATTTACAGTTCGGCTAACCGTAGATTACTTCGATACGCGGAAGCTTCAGCGATTGGCAGATTGAAACCGGAACTTTGTAGGCAAAAGGAAATGGTCGTTGCCCTACGTTTACCTTGGTGAAACAGTTTGAAATCTACTCGAATTTGTGTTTCAGTTTCTAGGATTCAGCTATTTGCTTCATTTTAATTAATTGTTACTGAAGTATGCACCTGATGAGATACAGCGAAATATGCCAGGCAATAAATTGTGCAGTCTATTGTTTGTGTCTTCTTTGTTCAAATATTCTAAATCTGCCAGCCAATGTAGCGCTGAAAATGAAAATTACTGGATAAGTAGAGATTCACATGTGAATGTTATTGTCATATAGCAACTGAAAGTAGCGACAACAATGATAGACTTGACGACGGAGTTGCTTCTGAAGCAAGAAGTGGGCGTGGCACAAAAGACCAGAACATGTCTACAACTGAAAATGCTGTTTTTAAATGCTTGATAATCATCCTCTATATGAAGAGCAACAAGGTGCCATGACAGACACAAATGGATGTGTGCCGACTGATTTTTTGGGGGGAAGAAAAGCAATTGAAACTGAAACAAGCAGATCATCCTGTTTTATGTGACAAAATATAAAGGCATGTTGGCCATGACCTGGCATAACACTAAAAGAGTTCTCCTGATATCTACTGTTTATTGCAATAATATTATGGACAAGACAGGAAAAGTGGAACTCTTGAAGGCTGAATAATAAATAAGCCATTTCTTACAGAAAAATACAACAACAGTACGGGGCGTATTGACCACTTAAAATAGCTGGGTGCAAGCTACCCCTACCCACCTAGATTGTTTAAATGGTATGCTCAGTTTGAACAATGAGAAAAACAAAAGTGATGATTTCCAAAAAAAGAATAGTGCCTAAATTTATAATAAATGTCAAAAACTTAATTTTAGGACAAGTACAGAAATTTTAATATCTAGGCATATGGATAACATCCGATGGAAGATGTGACACAGAGATAAAGAACAGAAGAGGACAGGCTAAAACAGAATTTTACTAAATGAACATGTCATTGGAGGTTATGAAAAGAATTCTCGATGCTATATAAAGCCAGTTTTAACTTACAGCTGTGAATCCTGGACAATGAATAAACAAGCTGAAACAATATCTTGAGGCATCTGAGGTGTGGTTTTATAGAAGAATCCTTAGAATTCCTCGGACAGCTAAGAAGAGCAACCCAGATATTTTTAATGAGGCGAATGCTTGAAGACAGCTTATCACAAACATCAGAAAGAGACAATCATTTTTGGTCATGTTATGAGTAGAGGGAAAATGGAACAGGTTGTGACCACTCGAAAGATTTGTGGAAAGAGAGACAGAGGAAGACAGTGTGGGAAGATTACTGACAGTCTTTCATCGTGGCATGGAGGGGTGTCAGCACACAAACTGATACACACTGTTGCGGATGACAAATTGTGGAAAGGCATGATCGCCCTCGCCAGTCGGCAAGGCACTTGATTGTGGTGATGTATGTGAATAGCAACCATCCACACATATGAGGCATAGCTATGTTATCTTGGTGGAATAAGTTGTTGTGGAGTCTCACTACAGACTGTATGTGATAACAGTTATGTTGTTAATGATTTGAACCCCACCCCCACATACCCTGACTAAACAGTGACGTAGGTAATTGGTTTATTTTCAGGATTTCCATCCTTGCTTCTGTGGTTATAAATATTTATTTAAAATTGGAGAAATGTTTGTTTTGTTTTATTGGAACTTGTTGCATTCCATGAACTATTTTGTGTTTTACTTGTTCAGGGCCGACTGAATGAACTCATGTCACAGATGAGAATGCAGACGCAGATGTCGTCCGGGCGAACAGACTCAACATATCAGATGGATTCAGAGACGCAGGCAGAAATAAGATTGGTGAGTTTATAATTTTAACATTGAGAGCGTCATCTACAGTGTATTGGGTTGCTCCCATTACATTCATCGTTCTCAGCAAAATGGCTAGCAACCTGCTGATTGTGTTGCACAAAGCTCAAACTCCCTAGTCCCAGGTGCAGTTCTCAGGGTCTGCAAAAACTGCACTCATAAGCCAAATGGCCATATCTGTGAAATGAACCTAGGACCTTCAGATGGCAATGCAAATATCAGAAAGTATTAAGTTTTAACCTCAGTACACTGTACTTCAAAGTGCTGAACATAGTTCTTTCAGTGGTTCTGGCTCAGAAGGTTGCAGAAAAGTGAAAAAAGACGAAGGTCGCTAGAATCATTTTATTGTGGCATACTGAGGATGTGTATCTATGCCTATATTTTCTGACTGCGTGATTTGAATAGATGACACAGTCAGTGGGGCCTAGCCACATTGTCTTCCTGACAAATGTTCTGGCTAATATAAACTTAGCACAAACTTTGAAAGTTTGAAAGTATTGTTGTGGCTTTGTCTGAAAACATTGTTCTATAAACGGAGGTACATAAGTTATGCATTGTGATTGTGAGTCTATATACAGCTAAGGTAGGAAAGGGTGAGTATAACTGTAAACTAGTATATCTACCAAGTTTTCCAGCTTTTACCACATGTGTGGTGCTTGTTGTCCATATCACCATCTTAGCACATTCATGCTCCATCCTCTGATGCAGCAGCCATCTTAGCGTCTCCATGCTCTGATGCAGCAGCCATCTTAGCGTCTCCATGCTCTGATGCAGCAGCCATCTTAGCGTCTCCATGCTCTGATGCAGCAGCCATCTTAGCGTCTCCATGCTCAGTGTACCCAGTGGAATGTGACTTCTTTGCCCCACAACCTGCCTCTGTATGCTTGTCCTTGTTTAATACTCTTTTCCAACAGACACTTCATCATCTGTGACCTTTTTGCTTCAGATATCTAGAACGCAGTGCATTCAGTATGTCTGCCCTGTCCACACTTCTTAATTCACCAATCACTGCAAACATGGCTTGTTTGTCACCTCTTACCTTTCCTTTCACCCACTGTGTAGAACTAGGATATTTTCTTGATACAGGTTTCTGGATGCTGTCAGCCCATTCTAGTCAGAGTTTGCTAGTTTGGATCATCTTAAGCATGTTCAGTGAGTCTGTCACTGTCAGTGCAAAAATTTTCTGTTTGGCCAGCCATGCAAGTGCCCCTGTGACAGCTGCTATCTCCATCGTCATGTTAGTAGAGTTAACTGAATACCTTTTTTTAATGTCTTACCATTTACCTGTGCTGTCTACGCCACCCAGACTGCACTCCACAAATCACAGAGCCATCTATATAGATGATGACATCACGGGGTCGAGTGTGCTTGTGGATGAGAGCCCTTATTTCAGTATCAGAAGCTGTTTGGCTTTTTTCTCTGCAATTCCTGCCCACGGTGATTATTACCCCAATGTGCTTGTGCAATTTTTATGGTGTTCCTCTCCATTCTACTGGATGTCTAGGCACCAAATCTAAAAAATCATAGTGTGAGAATATGCATTATTATTTGTTTAAGTTGATGTTTCCATTCATCAAATCAGGCTAGAACTTTTTTTGTTTCTTTCTCCAGATTCTCAAGCAGCAACAAGATGGATTGCAGCATCTGATTGAAATCATCAAGGAGGATGCGGCTGATGTACATCTTATAGAGCAAGGTCTTGCTAAATCTCGACTGAAGTGATACATTTGAGACATCACAATATGGAGCATCATTATCCCACAATGATTTTGTGACCTTTGTAATAAATGTTTCACTTCACAGTAGCTGTCATCTTCTTTGTGTTAGTATTTGACTATTTGTACGTACAACATTGGCTATATCAGTACGAGTAGGTCAACTTTTTAAGTCTCATACATGTGACAGCTGTCAGCTAGTGAAAAACAAATCAGTTTTATAATTTTTCAGATAGATCATCACACTTTGGTGGAGCAAGAACCAGAACATTTCTTCTCCTTGAACACCTCAAGCAGCAACATGGGAAGTGGAAAACAAAGCTCAAACTGCTGGCTACTGAAGTATTGTAACATTTATTGTCTTGCACGTTGTCTTGTTTATTGAATATAAATATTTTCAAACCCAAAGTAATTTTCAGTTAAATCAACTTCAAATGTTTTATCAACCTAGACCATGTTTGAACAATAGTATATTGATTCACTGTATAAGTTGTGATCACCTAGTGCATATTTGAAATGTAAAATAAAAGATATAAAACTTTGAATTGAGGTCAGGACTGATAACTGTTATGAGTAATTGTGTATTTGATTGTGTGGAGGCTGAAGCCAATTTTGTGAAATACAATGGTTATTACTGCACACCAAGCACATGCTAGTTACAGTGAAATAAGCACATCTAGCCATGTTTTAGAAACGTTTCTGTTTCCTTTATCATGGTTTTATCATCTCACTGATAGAGGCTGTAGCTCAGTGTCATGGTTTTATCGCCTCACTGATGCCAGGTTGTAGCTCAGTGTTGTGTTTTTTCTGCATTTGTCTAGTACTTCTTGCAGGGTAGATTTGTTCATCTTTTTTACAAGTTTTATTCAGCATAACTTTTAGCAGTGCTTGTCATACAAGAATCACCTAGAGACAATGTCATATTTAGAGCCAGGAAATGACTGAAGGCAATGGCATATGCCGACATTGAAGGAGTACTTTTCCTGGTCTCTCATGGACTTGTACTAAGTGTTATAGACTACAGTTTGGGCTTCCTCACTGTCAGCAGAACCCAGCTAGAAAGACTGGACTGGGTACAAAATGAGACCATGAGACTCATACTCAGCTGCACAATCGACACCTCGTGCCAGGCCATGCACTATTTCCTGGGTTTACCCACGATGGCCACCAGACATCAGCAGACATCAACCACCCACTGCACGACGCTATCAATGATATAAAATGGATGCGTCTCAAAAGAGTCTCATCTTGGATGGCCAAGGCAGAAAATCTAATCAAGCAAGTATGTGACCTAGACAAGATTAGTCAAAGAATGGAGGAATACACCAGTAGACATGCATGACTTGTCTAAGATTGTAATAACACTGGGGAGTTTCTGCAGGAGTCAGATACCTGCCACCGTAGACGCTGAGATTAAGGCACTAACTGATCAGCATTCACGCCTAGAAGATGTCGTCATTTACACAGATGGGTCCGTGAAGCCCAGATCAAGGTTGGCATGGGCATACACAGAACAGAGGATGGGTAAAACAATAAAAGAGGATAGCAGTGTCAAGAATGATCAAGGAGATAACTGCTGCTTCCAGAGCACTCACACGGGTAGCAGAACAAGCGACCATATATGCGGTTATTGTTTCAGACTGTGAACATGCTTCAGAAAATTGCTACAGGAAGTCTACGCTCCGAATGGGTAAAAAGCATTCGAAAGTCGCTGTTGACTTCTATCATCTGGATCTACACACCTGGGCACGCAGGAGTAAATGGTAATGAAAGAGCTGACCAGCTAGCAAGTGATGCACCAATGCAAACGGGAAGACGCATGGACAGAGCTGATATTATCAACGCTGTGCTGACTAGTTTGGGGGATAACTGCGAATCTCTGATGCTAACACGACTGCGTGACCGAGGAGTTGAGCTTGGTGAATGCTAAGGATGCCCAATATGTGTCGACTGTGAAAACAATAAATTTCATCTCCACCATTTATCCATCTCTTTGCTGGTCTTCCCGTCACCTTCCTCTCAGATATTCTGCTATAAGAAGTCTCATATGCAGTTTTGTTTCACTGCATTCTCACTAGAAGGCCGAACCATTTCATCCTCTCTCATTCAGACACAGTCTTACTCCAACTTTCTATCAAATGCTGGTATATGTAACCCTGTCCCTTCTTGTGTTGGTGATCTTATCGCGACAGTGCATTTCACAGTTATTTTCTGTTCTAGTGCCTTACTCATTGTCCATGTTTGGTACTGACAGCATAAAGAAGGGATGAAGTTGCTATCAATCATCAGCTGTTTTGCTGGAGGGGAGACATTTGGGTGTCTATGCAGTGGGGCTAACTGGTAGGTGACAGCATTTGCCTTCTGTACTCTTGCTTTTATCTCCCTTCGAGTCTGCCATCTTATGTAGATATGTTTCCCAGATATCTGAATTCATGTACTTGTTTGATTGTAGTACCATTAACGTGGACGTTTACGTTACATTTCCGGCATATTCTCATTCTCTCAGTTTTCGCAGTCTTTATTCTCACATCATACTTTGTGCAGGTTTGATGTGAGAAGTCAGCATTTAGTTTTGTAAATTCTGATCTTGGTGGTTTATTAGACATTGGCAAAAAGAAGGTAATTGATTTCACCAGTGTGTATTTGCCTCCTATGTAGTTCTATCCATGTAAGTAATGAAGATCAGTGGTGAGGGGACACATCCCTGTCTGACACCTGATGAGATGGGAAACCAATCTGTTATTCCTTCTGTTGCTCTTACTGTGCACTATCTTGACAAAGAGCCATGGTGTTACCCAATATTTGATCTTAAATACCATAATCTCCTAGAATGTTCCATAGTTTGCATCTGTTGAATCAAATACCTTCTGATCTAGAAATATAAGCTGTTGACTTTTATCATATTCAGTAAACTGCTCATATTTCTGCATAAGTGACAATATTATATCTGCAGCTCTTGTTGTGCAAGGTGAGAAAGGGAGTTGCCGTGGCGCAGGGAATTGCCGTGGTGCTGGCGACTAGACGCCCACCTGCGGATCAGAAGGTCAAGGGTTCGCGTCCTGACGGAGCCGGAATTAAAAAAAAATGACCTTGACTCCCAGGTCGACCCAGCTTTGAGTGGGTACCAGGTGCAGTCCTGGGAAGTAAAGGTGGCTGGCGTGATACTGTCCACATCACCCACCAAGTGCTAATTGGTCTATGAAAATATAGTTCTAGCCCTATATTCCCAAAACGCCTAAAGACGTGGAAAAGGGACTGTTGCTTTGCTTAGTCTTTGACTGTCCTGTGTCCAATAAGGCTACAGATTTCTCTCTCTCTTTTTGTCTGGTGCCCATCTCTTGCTTGACTGTCTTGTGTCAGCCCACAAGTTTGTTTCTTTCTCTCTTTTTGTCTGGTACCTATCTCTTGTTTGATTGTCTTGTGTCAGCCCACAAGGCGGCAGGTTTGTCGCTCTCTCTCTCTTTGTCTGGTACCTATCTCTTGTTTGATTGTCCTGTGTCAGCCCACAAGGTGGCAGGTTTGTCTCTCTCTCTCTGTCTTTGTCTGGTACCTATCTCTTGTTTGATTGTCCTGTGTCAGCCCACAAGGCAACAGATTTATCTCTTTCTCTGTCTGGTATCTATCTCTTGTTTGACTGTCCGGTGTCAGCCCACAAGGCGCCAGGTTTGTCTCTCTCTCTTTGTCTGGTACCTATCTCTTGTTGGACTGTCCTGTGTCAGCCCACAAGGCGGCAGGTTTGTCTCTCTCTCTTTGTCTGGTACCTATCTCTTGTTTGATTGTCCTGTGTCAGCTCACAAGGCGGCAGGTTTGTCTCTCTCTCTCTCTCTTTGTCTGGTATCTATCTCTTGTTTGATTGTCCTGTGTCAGCCCACACGGCAGCAGGTTTGTCTCTCTCTCTCTCTTTGTCTGGTACCTATCTCTTGTTGGACTGTCCTGTGTCAGCTTACAAGGTGGCAGGTTTGTCTCTCTCTCTCTCTTTGTCTGGTACCTATCTCTTGTTTGATTGTCCTGTATCAGCCCACAAGGCGCCAGGTTTGTCTCTCTCTCTCTTTGTCTGGTACCTATCTCTTGTTTGATTGTCCTGTGTCAGCCCACACGGCAGCAGGTTTGTCTCCCTCTCTGTCTGGTACCTATCTCTTGTTTGATTGTCCTGTATCAGCCCACAAGGCGGCAGGTTTGTCTCTCTCTCTCTTTGTCTGGTACCTATCTCTTGTTTGATTGTCCTGTGTCAGCCCACAAGGCAGCAGGTTTGTCTCTCTCTCTGGTAACTATCTCTTTTTTTGACTGTCCCGTGTCATCCCACATGGCAACATATTTGTCTGTCTCTCTTTCTCTCTCTGGTACCTATCTCTTGTTTGACTGTCCCGTGTCAGCCCACAAGGCGGCAGGTTTGTCTCTCTCTCTCTGTGTCTGGTACCTATCTCTTGTTTGACTGTCCCGTGTCAGCCCACATGGCAACATATTTGTCTCTCTCTCTCACCTATCTCTTGTTTGATTGTCCTGTGTCAGCCCACAAGGCGGCAGGTTTGTCTCTCTCTCTTTGTCTGGTACCTATTTCTTGTTTGATTGTCCTGTGTCAGCCCACAAGGCGGCAGATTTGTCTCTCTCGTTTTGTCTGGTGCTTATCTCTTGACCAACATGAGAGACCCTATCAGTAGGTACACTACCAGTCTCTTATCAACAGAAAAAGAGAATAATTAAATCAACAAGAAAGCCACCGAAACTGACACAAGACGATTACCATATTATGGACAGACCAGAGCAAGTCATTATCCTACGCCCTAGAACAGGGCACAGTCGACTTTTCTGCAACATGTACACAAAATTTAAGACTGGCAAATCAGCCATGTGTACCTGTGGACTCGCACCTGAGACAACAGATCACATCCTCCAAAACTGTCCCAGATTTAACGCTTCCAGGCAAAACTTGTGGCCAAAAGAGACACTTGTGGAAGTCAAACTTTACGGGATGCTTAGTGAATTATAAAAGACAGAGAAGTTCATACTAGAGACAGCATTGAAGATATAGATAATTTATTTCATGCGAACGACCATCAACATAGCCCATATGAAATTGGAGAACACAAGCCCTGTAAATGGAAATGGTCTGTATGCAGTTGATAATTTTCTTACATGGTGTTTTGCTTGATGATCAGCAAGACAGAGAGCTTAGGTGGTGTTACTTCCATCAATACTGGTTGCTTTGCATGAATGATTTGACTTCTTGGACTAAAAACATCAAAGAATAGACAGTCTAGAACAAGGCTATTCAACTGATGGCCTATGGGTCAAATTTGGGCCGCAGTATCCTAGCAAGTGGCCCGTGAATCACCTGCAAATTGTATTAACAATCTTTATGTGATGGGGCTTGGGCTTCTGGCCCATGACAGTCCCTATTTTCCCGACATTTTGGCCCCTGGATAAACTTAGTTGAATGGCTCTGGTCTAGAAAATTAACACATGTAATATGTATCTCTGAAGACAAGGAGCACAGGAAATTCTTGACCACAAATATATCCAGTCATGACACCCTAAAACCTACAGATGGAAGTCATGGGCTACAAGAAGCAATAAAACAAACAGGTATCATCAGCTGTTTTACACTTATGGAGCTTGTGAGGATTTCGAAGCATCTATGCATCTGATCGGAATGATGTGATAATAATCTTTACTAATCACTAAGCAACAAAACAATATGAATATTAAAAAAATATGAATAAAGCAATCTTTTGTTGAGAGTGTCTTTTAATGTAACATCACAGGCAAAGCGTGACAAATACCAGGTATTATCATAATCTTCTTGTGACTGTTTACTGTAGCATGCACTTGGTGTTTAGACGATTTTTGTAGCAGCTGTTGTTCTATGGTCACAGACAGCCACTGATGGTACAAAACACATGCTTTCAGTGACAAGCAATCTGTGGTATTATGTAAGTATTATGTATCTTGTTCTGAGCAGATCAAACTGTATTCTCCCCAAACCTGACAGGAACAAACACAAATGAATGAACAGTGTTTCAATTAACAGTGTTAATTAAAATAATGTTTAATGGCAAGACACTCGTAATTGGCTTTTGTGTTTGTATGGCCAGTGACATGAACATATCCTAACTATTTACAGCATAGCTGCAATATTTGCACTTTTCAGTGGACACATCCAGCTTCTGCAGGCATTTGTTGTCTGGGCAAGTCTTCCCAAGAACTGACCTGACTGGACGGGACTTTTTTTTCATTCTGCTTAGTATCTCTTTTTCCACACTGCAATTTTCAGCCTACATCGATATAACATAAAGCACGAATCTGCCTATAAGGGATAACTTCCAGAACCGGAAACAAACCCATGACTCATGGCATCAAGCAAAGGCCACCACACCATACGGATCACAGGAGTAACGTATGATGCAACAACAAATAAACACTAACTGCTAGATTTCTGTTTTCCCCAAGACAACACCAAATGATCTCATAATAGCATATTTTCAGTGTTAATACATAAGTAAAAAAGTAAAGATCCCTTTTTTACGCCTTTAGGCGCATCGGGCATATGCCAAAAGGGCGCCCATATTTTTACAGTCCATCGGCACTAGGTGGGTAATGTGGTCAGCATTGCACCAGCCATCTTTACTTCGGCAAGACAGCCATCCTGGTACCCATTTTAAGCTGGGTTGACCTGCGAATGCCATACCATGATAAAAAGTCAACACAGCCTGCAGTGGGTTTTGATCGCAGTACGTTGGAATTACGAGTCGGACTGGCAATGCATAAGCCACGGACGTCGCAGTGTCAATACATATTTGTACGTTATTGTTCACTTAGAGATCATCTTGATCACACCTAACCATAAGTGCTTCGATCTCCTCCTGAGTATGTCTTTAAATGTTTGTAGACTAACACTTCCATTCAGTTCTGGCCGATGTAACGACAGGTGGCTCCTGCCCGTTTGTCTGGTCTCACTGCTCCAATTGGTACACCCAGTGTATGCGGTTTATTCAATGAAAATCATTGTCCACAAAACTGAAAGCCTCACAGCATTGTCTCTTATATGGCATTGATGATCTCTCCTGTCCATTCGGAGCCCATTTTTGATATTCACACTGCCAGCCAGAGCATCTGCTCTCTCACGGCCTTTCACCTTTTACACCAGCATTCCCTGGGACAAAAATGAAGGTGATTTTGCGAAATGCTGCAAGTTGTATCAGATGGAGCTACTGTTCCCATAGGTACCCCACCGTAATCTTTTGTGGCATGCTCTTGAGTCGCTGAGCAAACATGCACTGGTAAACTCCTGGCTATTCAGCCATTCTAGAACTTTTGTCACAGCCATGGCCTCCATTGTCATGTGGCTGGTGGTAGAAACAAAGGCTCCTCTGTCTTCTTCAATGACTTTCCCTTTAGTTCTTGCCGTGCAAGCCCATGCAGTTTGCTTCTGATTAATTACAGAACCATGTGTATATATAAAACAGCATCTTCCAGCCATGCGTGTTCCTCCAGCAATGCTTTCACTTCTGCATCAACTATTGGTGGCGCCAAATCACGGCGCTGTCTTGTCAGGGAGATAACCACCACAAATCACGGCGCTGTCTTGTCAGGGTGATAACCACCACAAATCACGGCGCTGTCTTGTCAGGGTGATAACCACCAAAAATCACGGCGCTGTCTTGTCAGGGTGATAACCACCACAAATCACGGCGCTGTCTTGTCAGGGTGATAACCACCACAAATCATGGCGCTGTCTTGTCAGGGTGATAACTACCACAAATCATGGCCGCTGTCTTGTCAGGGTGATAACCACCACAAATCACGGCGCTGTCTTGTCAGGGTGATAACACCACAAGATACTGCTTGTATTCATTTTGTATGATCATCCATTCCTCTCCACGGTTTTTGTCTTGAAAGAAAATCCCACGATGAAGTACTGTCTCTGCCCAGCCCAACCAAGACTGGCCTCGTTTAAGTCTGTTGCCTCAAGTCTGTGGATGTGTATATTAAATACACAGTAAGAACCGATATGGCTTCATATGAGTGAATAACTTATTTTGCTGAAAAGTAGACCTGACTAACTTAAACTATTACAATGTAAACTGTTAAGTCTTACTCATATCTGGTAACATCTTCCATTCCACTGACTAAACATCGTTCTAGAGTTCTGGCTGCCTCATGGAGAGTAGAAAATGCTGGATCACAATCTGTCAAAGAGAAAACAAAAACTGAACAGTCCAGGGTGAAATGTGCTTTACTGTACTGAAACAGGCGTGTGTGATATAGACATAGTGAATACAGTTTCACAATCCCCACACATCAGAGTTTGAAGTCAGCTGCTGGTGATTTGGTAACAGACTGATTTACCCTGGTTTTGACAACGTTGTGTGCATCATACCAACCAGAAAGCATTGGCAAAGCAATCAATGTAACATTGCCCAGTAAAGCACAAACAACTAGGACCAAGATATGCCACTAACAACCTGCCATTAATCCATGTCAAAATCAAATATAATGAGTTTGAGTGAGAGATGTACATAACTTAGCACGACACACTCTTTTCAGGACAGCAACAGAGAAGAATAATGAAATACAGAAACAATGAGGAAGGTGGGGGGGGGGGGGGGGGGGGTGGGAGGAGAAAGAATAAATAATAGCAGAGATTGTCCCATAGCAAATAATACTGCTGGGTTGGGAGGCAGCAAGGCATCACATATTCTAGACCATGGCATATGAGGTGGGCTGGTCAGCTGGCTTTCTGACAGACAATGATATGCAGGAGAATAGGTCATATTTCATGGACAAACAAACCTATCATATACAGAGTATCTGGAGAGAATGCAAACAAAAACATTTACTGGTAGAAATCAAATACAATTGAAAAAAAAAAAAAAGAGACAACTGAAATATTTCAACCACATTAAAAGATGTAACACTCTTGAAAGGAAAAGTTGAAGGCAAGAGAGCAACAGGTAGCCAATGAAACAAATGGAAGGACATCAAAAGATGGATGAACAGTGGTCTGAGACGGCATACAACCAAGACAAAACTGACACTGTGCTGGGGATCCACTGCAGTCAACCTTTATTGTGGAGACGACACCTGAATTACTGACTGAATATGTTCCTGCACCTATTTTTTGAGTACTGTTGGTATAGTCCTGTCAATGCATAGAACAGATCTTGGCCTACTGTCTTAGAAAGCCAACATGGCAACATAAAATATACATAAATAAGAGGCTAAACAATTTAAGACAATACAATAGACTTCGCTGCATAGGGTTTTATCCTACTTTGCTCAGACTCTTTCCACAAAGTGGCTTTTCGTATTCTGACAGTGTTGCACATAGAGAACCCAAAAGAATTTGCGAGACACTTGTGCTTGCAAAAGAAAGACGGAGTAGAAAACTTAACCTAAATACTGACAGTACGAGACAAACGGCTCAACCACATTACTACAGTGACCTCCTAAAACAAAATAAGAAACAAGACATCCAATAATGAATTACTAATGTTCTTTGTCTACTAAACAAATGAAACAAAACCATTATTGAGAGAAGAGGCCAGGCTAAACAATGTAACATAATTATATTTCCTAGCAAATGTTATACAATAATCAAAGTAATAACTTAGTGAGAATACAAGGTAGCACCTAAGAATGAAAGAAAAATAAAACTAACAGATCAATTCACTATAATAATAAAAAGCAACCCAGATGTTCTGAAAAAGGTTAGGGCTTGAAGCAACTTATCACAAACATCAGAAAGAGGTGAGGGCTTGAAGCAACATATCAGAAACATCAGAAAGAGGTTATGGCTTGAAGCAACTTATCACAAACATCAGAAAGAGGTGAGGGCTTGAAGCAACTTATCACAAACATCAGAAAGATGTGAAGGCTTGAAGCAACGTATCAGAAACATCAGAAAGAGGTGAGGGCTTGAAGCAACGTATCAGAAACATCAGAAAGAGGTGAGGGCTTGAAGCAACGTATCAGAAACATCAGAAAGAGGTGAGGGCTTGAAGCAACGTATCAGAAACATCAGAAAGAGGTGAGGGCTTGAAGCAACATATCAGAAACATCAGAAAGAGGTGAGGGCTTGAAGCAATGTATCACAAATATCAGAAAGAGGTGAGGGCTTGAAGCAACATATCAGAAACATCAGAAAGAGGTTAGGGCTTGAAGCAATTAATCACAAATATCAGAAAGAGGTGAAGGCTTGAAGCAACGTATCACAAACATCAGAAAGAGGTGAGGGCTTGAAGCAACTTATCACACATATCAGAAAGAGGTGAAGGCTTGATGCAACATATCACAAACATCAGAAAGAGGTAAGGGCTTGAAGCAACTTATCACAAACATCAGAAAGAGGTGAGGGCTTGAAGCAACTTATCACAAACATCAGAAAGAGGTGAGGGCTTGAAGCAACTTATCACAAACATCAGAAAGAGGTGGGGGCTTGAAGCAACTTATCACAAACATCAGAAAGAGGTGAGGGCTTAAAGCAACTTATCACAAACATCAGAAAGAGGTGAGGGCTTAAAGCAACTTATCACAAACATCAGAAAGAGGTGAGGGCTTGAAGCAACTTATCACAAACATCAGAAAGAGGTGAGGGCTTGAAGCAACTTATCACAAACATCAGAAATAGGTGAAGGCTTGAAACAACTTATCACAAACATCAGAAAGATGTGAAGGCTTGAAGCAACTTATCACAAACATCAGAAACAGGTAGTCATAATTTGTTGGCCATATTATGGAAAAAAGGAGACTGGAAAATGTGACCACTGGACAGATCTGTGTAAAAAAGACAAAGAAGACAATGAGATGATTCCTGTCAGCCTTTTGTCACGGCTTGGAGAGGTGTGTCATCACATGAACTGATATATGCTGCTGAAGATGATAGATTGTGGAGGTATGATCGCCCATGCCAGTCGGCAGGTCACTCGATAATGATAATAATAATAAAAACACAACCATGATAAGTACAGAAAAAAACAATAAAGTTAGTTTCATGTCTTGTCCAAGATATCACAGACCAAACCTAGCATACTTCCAGCATGCTGGCATTGTAAAACAGTACTCAAAACCACTAAGCCATTTATACTAAAAGAACCTAATATATAACCTAAGAAGTATATTATAAGGACAGACAGCATAAAAAGGAATTTATGATAGAAAAATAATAATTAAACAGCAGAGCTAAATTAGAATACATTGAAAACAGCAGCTGCTGTCCAGTTAACCGCTGCAATCAAAACACAGAGAGAAAGATTGGAGAGCATTGTACCTGTGCTACCTGCTGCCTCATCAACATTGGAAGTACGACGATGGGGGACCTTTATCTCACGCCCCAGTGCTGCACTGATTTCTCCTAGTTTATGTACTGAGGGCGTTACAAAAAAAAATGCATTACTGATTTAATAATTTTGCAATTTTAGGATGTAATATCAACATACAGACATTAAAAAAACACTAATGTTTATGATATTAGCATTAATTTCTTTTTTGCGTCTGTGTTATCTAGGGTTGTGCAAGAAAACAAGACCTTCAATTTCTAAGCAGAATAGGCTATCTGGGTACTTTCACGGCTAATAGAGTAACAACCACACTAGATACTAATACAGATGGTGAGTAAAGGATATTGATTAGCCAGATATTTTGAAAATATACTGTGGGGTATTAATCGTGGACGTGAGAGAAAAAACATGGACAATAAACAGACAGGCTGGGAAGTGGAACATGCTTTATGTGAAAAATGCAAATACCATGGGTATCAGAATCATCAATGAGGCAAGATCTTTAAAAAAAAAAGATAACTGTAAACTAATCAGAGAAATTAGACGTAGACAGTAGAACCTTTCAGGCATGTTATAAAGAGAAATACATGTGAAAACAACTGGCACATTTTATAGGAATAGAGCAATGAGAAAAAAATGAGATGATGGTTTGGCAGCAGGATATAATTGGGACATAAACGGAGACCTGATCCAGGACTATGGTGATAACGTAATATGGCAAACCATGACTACCCATGATTTTGGCATGGCACACAATGATTATGAGGAAAGGGAAAAGGAGAGAGGGCTGGTCAGGCAGATGGTTGGGGAGGGGTGAATACTAATACGTCCCTCCATGGAATGCCTAATGCTGAGGATACTTGTCAAGTGTCAGCCTGCATCAAAGGGAAGAGTCACAGCCCAGTATGGAGTTCTGAAATGTTACACATAATTCATTATAAAACAGAAAAAGCTGCCTACATGAGTAACTGCACTTACTGATGGGATCTTTATTCACAAAGACACTTACCTACGTAACCTGAAATCTTCACAGTGGAGTCTGTGACTTCACGTGCATAGATAATTCCTTCCCGAATTTGTGGCTCTATTGTATGTTTATGTTTCTGCTGAAATTTTTTGGATTCTTCTGTGACTTTCTCTTTCACCATGTCAGCACCTTTCTCCACTTCATCTGCAATCCAGCCAACAGCTAGCAGGAGTAGACAAGTTTAGCAGGAGTAGACAAGTTGTGAGTCAGTTTGAAAGCTACATCAAATAGCTCTGTTGTGCTGTCAAAACTGGGCAGTTTTTTCTAAAACATATTGCTGACATCACTGAATTGCTGCTTGCCTCACTAGATACCCCAGGATGTCCACTGATCCAGTACCAAATCAGAAATCTATTTTGTGTTCTTATGCATAAAACAAATCTACTTACTGAAAAAATACATACAGTGGTTGGGGAAAGTAAAACAGTGGGAAAGAAATGACAGCTTGAATAACAGAAATAAAGTCATTACAGTATTATCAGACCCAAACCAGGCCTAAATACACAATTTCTGGCGGCGGCAATAATCTGGAACAAGTAGATACATGCAAGTATCTAGACACAAAGATTACATTAGATAGAAGATTTATAATTGAGATTAGGAAAAATAATAGAACAAACAAATACTGCATAAAACAAAAAGAAGAACATCTTATGCAATCAAATCTATCATTCGAGGCTAGAAAACTAATCATTACATACTATACTCTGAATCCTGAACATGCAACACAAAACTTCATGAAGTCTCAGGGATGTGGTTGTATAGTAAAATGCTTACAACACAAAACTGCATGAAGTCTCAGGGATGTGGTTGTATAGTAAAATGCTTACAACACAAAACTGCATGAAGTCTCAGGGATGTGGTTGTATAGTAAAATGCTTACAACACAAAACTCCATGAAGTCTCAGGGATGTGGTTGTATAGTAAAATGCTTACAACACAAAACTCCATGAAGTCTCAGGGATGTGGTTGTATAGTAAAATGCTTACAACACAAAACTCCATGAAGTCTCAGGGATGTGGTTGTATAGTAAAATGCTTACAACACAAAACTCCATGAAGTCTCAGGGATGTGGTTGTATAGTAAAATGCTTACAACACAAAACTCCATGAAGTCTCAGGGATGTGGTTGTATAGTAAAATGCTTACAACACAAAACTCCATGAAGTCTCAGGGATGTGGTTGTATAGTAAAATGCTTACAACACAAAACTCCATGAAGTCTCAGGGATGTGGTTGTATAGTAAAATGCTTACAACACAAAACTCCATGAAGTCTCAGGGATGTGGTTGTATAGTAAAATGCTTACAACACAAAACTCCATGAAGTCTCAGGGATGTGGTTGTATAGTAAAATGCTTACAACACAAAACTCCATGAAGTCTCAGGGATGTGGTTGTATAGTAAAATGCTTACAACACAAAACTCCATGAAGTCTCAGGGATGTGGTTGTATAGTAAAATGCTTACAACACAAAACTCCATGAAGTCTCAGGGATGTGGTTGTATAGTAAAATGCTTACAACACAAAACTCCATGAAGTCTCAGGGATGTGGTTGTATAGTAAAATGCTTACAACACAAAACTGCATGAAGTCTCAGGGATGTGGTTGTATAGTAAAATGCTTACAACACAAAACTGCATGAAGTCTCAGGGATGTGGTTGTATAGTAAAATGCTTACAACACAAAACTCCATGAAGTCTCAGGGATGTGGTTGTATAGTAAAATGCTTACAACACAAAACTCCATGAAGTCTCAGGGATGTGGTTGTATAGTAAAATGCTTACAACACAAAACTGCATGAAGTCTCAGGGATGTGGTTGTATAGTAAAATGCTTACAACACAAAACTGCATGAAGTCTCAGGGATGTGGTTGTATAGTAAAATGCTTACAACACAAAACTCCATGAAGTCTCAGGGATGTGGTTGTATAGTAAAATGCTTACAACACAAAACTCCATGAAGTCTCAGGGATGTGGTTGTATAGTAAAATGCTTACAACACAAAACTCCATGAAGTCTCAGGGATGTGGTTGTATAGTAAAATGCTTACAACACACAAAACTCCATGAAGTCTCAGGGATGTGGTTGTATAGTAAAATGCTTACAACACAAAAACTGCATGAAGTCTCAGGGATGTGGTTGTATAGTAAAATGCTTACAACACAAAACTCCATGAAGTCTCAGGGATGTGGTTGTATAGTAAAATGCTTACAACACAAAACTCCATGAAGTCTCAGGGATGTGGTTGTATAGTAAATGCTTACAACACAAAACTGCATGAAGTCTCAGGGATGTGGTTGTATAGTAAAATGCTTACAACACAAAACTCCATGAAGTCTCAGGGATGTGGTTGTATAGTAAAATGCTTACAACACAAAACTCCATGAAGTCTCAGGGATGTGGTTGTATAGTAAAATGCTTACAACACAAAACTCCATGAAGTCTCAGGGATGTGGTTGTATAGTAAAATGCTTACAACACAAAACTCCATGAAGTCTCAGGGATGTGGTTGTATAGTAAAATGCTTACAACAAAAATGAGCCTTTGAAATATTTTACAATAGGTTAAGACACAAAGACAAATGTTCTCAAACATCAGAAAGAACACACCTCAATTTTCTGGTGGTTATCTTATGAGAAGAGAAAATAGAAACATGTAGCCATAGCACAGAAGACAAGAGGAATTTTTACAGCACTGTAAATCTGTGGAAGCCCAAGGAAATTAAAACTAATACTAAACTGAAAATATTCAGCTCTGATTTTAAACCAGTACCTGCTGCGTGGAGATGAAACAAGGACAGCAACCAAAGTAATTACTAATAAACTACAAACATTCATTAACTGGTCACAGCATTCATCATTTTCTGCCTTCTATCCCCAACTGGAAGATAGACCATCAACCAACTCATACCAAGTCATTCTTTCCTTTGCTATTGCATGCAGCTCACCACATGTCTGACTTTCTACCCCACCAGGACATCACACAAGCGATAAACACCCGATGACACAAAGTGCCACCATAGCATAGAAAGATTTGAATGTAAGAAGTGATATGCAAGGTCCGAAAATTAAGTAATGAGACTGATTTTATTATGGCCAAGACAAAAAGGTCATCTATGAAGCAAAGCATGGAATCTAAAGAAGCAACATTCACCTATGATCTGGCAACTTTTCATCACCGCTCGATAAACAGACAACAAACAAGTCGCCATCTTGTTGACCCGGTCAGAGGTGCATTGTTACAAAATCAGTGCAGAGTAAAGGGCTAACATTAAATTTTTTTTTAAAATTTAGAAAAAGCGTGATTGAAACAGTTGAATTAATGCAACAAGTTTATGGGGTTAATTATCTTGTGCACAAATTTTCAGGTGGTACTGACGATTCAAAAGTGGTGTGGAAATGATTACTAATGCACCTAGATTTGGACTCCAAATTTCTGTTTGTAATGATAAACATTGCAAAATTTAGAGAAAGCATACTAAAAGATCATTGTTTTACTGTGAGGATGATGTCAGATGAATCTGGTATTAATAGAGAGACCATTAGTAACGTTTTAGTGCAAGATTTTGGCCCCCAAACAAGTTGCTTGCTGGTTTGTACCACATTCGTTGTCTGATGACCAAAAACATCAGCGGGTTGAGTGCCCAAGAGAAATAATCAAAACAAGAGTTTTTGGCCCAAAAACAAGTGTGTGCTCAGCCTTCCACCCTATTCCCCAGACTTGTCTCCCTGTGATTATTTTCTATTCCCAAAATTAAACTTACGATTGAAAGGACGCTTCTTTAACGATACTGATGACATCCAAAGGGTCGTAACATCAACTTTAAGGGCCATAACAGAAGAACTACAGAAGTCGTTCTAATGTTTGTTAAATCGTGCCACTTGATGTATTAATGCACAAGGGGCTTACTTTGAATCAGATACAGGTTATATCTTCAACTGTTGATTATTTTAATTTTTATGGAATTAGTATCATTACTTAAGTGTCGGACTTTGTTAATGCTGGAGATTACAAAATGTGGAAAGATATGATTGTCCATGTCAGACAGCAAAGCATCTGATGATGTATGTGTGTGTGTGTGTAATATAATCAAAGGAACCTTGTCTACACTGTGGCATAGTGAGTTAAGTGTGCTTGTCTTATATTGTATAGGTAAGTGGAACTATTTCTGTGATGTGCTCAATATTTACACACTACAAGATTCATGCAAAAAGTAATCACATTTACATGTTAGATCATACTGACATGTAAGATAAAACAATCTAAAACATATTAAAATCAACAACTACTGACCATCAAACAGTCCCCGTGACAGTTTATCAGCAGCTAGTGATAATCTCTTGAAACTGCTTGGTTCTCTAGTAATTGCTTCTGGTTCTACACTCTAATTATGAACCATAAAAAGAAACGTATTTACAAATATTTCAGGCTTCACATGTTTGATCAATTTTGTAGGAATAAAATATCTTGTGATAAAGACATACTTCTCTACAAGTAATACATTTCCTTAATGACATTGCAGACTACTAATCATAAAGGTTGAAACAAATGTGAATAAATTTCTTGCTAACATTCTTAAAGTAAAAATAAATAAACACTACCAAAAGACTGATAAAGATAAGTCAAACAACACAGAATAATTAACTTCAAACAGACAGTCTATTTACCCATTACCAAAAACTTCCATGTTTGCTAGTAAGCTTCGTAGGGAAGAACAATTTACAGTATTTTCTTGGGTCCCACACATGAGATCTTTTAGGTGTGTCACCTGTGTTGGTGATTGTTGTAGCTGAATTCTAACTAAATGACTGAATCATTTGATTTTTTGCTATCTCAATTAATTTGGGACAAGGTGTTGTTTCCCAAATCTATCATAATCTAATAACCCAATCACGGACAGCCATGCTGGTGGCTTCGCTCCAGCAGCTCATCTCACAGACTTTATGAAGGTGAGCCTCTGATGATGTCCATGTTTAGCACTGGTAGCACAGGGGTGGAATTAATGTGCCGCTTATAACCTTGCTTGGCAGTTATATGCTTCTTTGGGTGCTATTTTTTTAAATTGCAGCGAATAAGAGTGCTTGGCCAAGGCATCAGAATGTCTGACTTACATATTGTATGGGACGAGTATTAAATCCTCTGTAAAAGCTGGACTATTTATAAAAACATTTGGCCCGCCTGTGTCAGCAGCCAATTTGCTTCAACCCAATGAACACCCCCTCCCCACCCCCATGCAGACATGTAATCATACAGATGCTGTTAAAAACAGAAAGAAATTAAACATGCAATGTAACATTTCTGTTCTGCTGTATGGCAGCAAATCTTGGAAAGTCAGTGAACAAATTAAGAAGAATTTGGAAGCAACAGAGATGTGGTTTCTGAGACGAATGTTACAAATACCTTGGATGGCCAAAGTAACTAACAACGATTGATTAAAAGAAGCTAATGAAAGTAGATCTCTATATACAACTATAAGAAAGAGACAAACACTGTTCTTTGGCCACACAATGAGAAGAGAGACATTGGAGAACATCGTGACAACTCGAAAGATCAGTGGAAAAAGGGGTAGAGGTAGACCGAACGAGATAATGCTAGATGGGCCAAAACGATGTCATAGTGAGATATAAAAAAATAGAGCTGTTCCAGCCAACCAGGGATCGTGATTTGTGGAAACGCATGAGCGCCTATGTAAGTTGGCAGGGCACATGCTGATGATGAAGTGTAACATTTCAAATGCATAAAAAAACTATATTACAATCCACATTCATTGTACTTTATCAAAGGAAAGCAGCAAAAAGTAAACCATCACTAACCATCATTGAAGTAACATGTCCTTGGAAATGGTCTAAAAGCACAGCTGCTGATCTCAGCAGATCATGAAAAGACTGTCTGGTTTCACTGAGCAAATCTTCCGGAAACATCAATGCCACAAAACTTTCTGAAAGTAACAGCAATGCAATGTCAAATGGTTCAATCCAAAAGTCACCGGATGTGTGTATATGTGTGAGTGTGTGTGCATAATGATAAGTGTATGTGCATGTGCCTTCACACATGTGTGCAAACAGTTAACTGTCAACCAAAATGACTTTAATCATCTGATTACCATGCCAACCACTTCAGATGTCTACTAGTCAATACATCTCCTGTTTTTGTGTGCGTGGGCATCAGCATAAAATGATCACCACATGCTTATTTGTTTAAACAAAAAGAGATAAAAGCAGTCTTTAGCTAAACCTATTTACCAGGTTGAGATAAGGAAGTTTTTACCTTAACCCATTTACTACAAGCTATTAAACTGAGATACAAGAATTCTCATCTAAAATATCCTTATTCCAATCTATCAGAATGAAATGACGTTCTAACTCCAGACTCAGACATAGCAGAATATTTAGCTTCACAGTTTATTTGCTTCCGACAGCCCTTCGCTAATGCAGTTTCAACATTTGCATGGAAGTCTACGGTTTCGCTGCCTGAGTTTAGAGCTTAGTGCAGGCCTGTGAGCTGTATTTTTAATGTGGAATGCCTTTCATTTGTGCAGCGGTTGTGTCATGGTATTAAAAATGGCAAGTAGTCGGTTAACGTGTAGGCTGGTGAAATGCCTTATGTAATCATTTGACATGTGTATAGCCATCTTATTGTGACTAAGTACTTCCATCAATGACAAACAGCATTTCTGATGGCGATTCACGGCGGTGGCGCCTTTAGCAACTGCCATAGTAAGTGGGCAGGTTTTCTGGAATTGTGCTGGAACAATTGTTTGTTCACCAGTTTTTTTTAAATGGGACAATGAGGAAGATTTTTGTTCGATTTTCAGTGGCACAGGAACAGAGCAAGTATGGGGTGACCAATCTGCAGTGAAATTTAAACCTCGACAAAGACAGACTCATTTATCACAAGCTATCAGAATAAAAATAAAGTTCTAACCCCAAACTCATTTACCACAAGCTATCAAAATAAAGTTTTAACTCTAGACTCATTTACCACAAGCTATCAAAATAAAGTTCTAACCCCAGACTCATTTACCACAAGATATCAAAATAAAGTTCTAACTCCAGACTCATTTACCACAAGCTATCAAAATAAAGTTCTAAGCCCAGACTCATTTACCACAAGCTGTCAGAATGAAATAAAGTTCTAACCCCAGACTCATTTACCACAAGCTTTCAGAATGAAATAAAGTTCTAACCCCAGACTCATTTACCACAAGCTATCAAAATAAAGTTCTAACCCCAGACTCATTTACCACAAGCTGTCAGAATGAAATAAAGTTCTAACAAGTTCTAACCCCAGACTCATTTACCACAAGCTTTCAGAATGAAATAAAGTTCTAACCCCAGACTCATTTACCACAAGCTTTCAGAATGAAATAAAATTCTAACCCCAGACTCATTTACCCCAAGCTATCAGAATTAAAAAAAGTTCTAACCCCAGAGTCATTTACCCCAAGCTATCAGTATGAAATAAAGTTCTAACCCCAGACTCATTTACCACAAGCTATCAAAATAAAGTTCTAACTCTAAAATCATTTACCACAAGCTATCAGAATGAAATAAAGTTCTAACCCCAGACTCATTTACCACAAGCTATCAAAATAAAGTTCTAATCCCATACTCATTTACCACAAGCTATCAGAATAAAATAAAGTTCTAACCTCAGACTCATTTACCACAAGCTATCAGAATGAAATAAAGTTGCAACCCCAGACTTTTTTACCATGAGCTATCAAAATGCAAAAAAGGTTTAACTCCAGACTTATTTACCATAGGCTATCAAAATAAAGTTCTAACTCTATACTCATTTACCACAAGCTATCAGAATGAAATAAAGTTCTAACCCCAGACTTATTTACCATAAACTATCAAAATTTGGTTCTAACTCTAAACTCATTTACCACAAGCTATCAGAATGAAAAAAAAAAAGGTTTGACTCATTTACCACAAGCCATCAAAATAAAGTTCTAATCCCAGACTCATTTACCACAAGCTATCAGAATGAAATAAAGTTCTAACCCCAGACTTATTTACCACAAGCTATCAAAATAAAGTTCTAACCCCAGACTCATTTACCACAAGCTGTCAGAATTTAAAAAAAGTTTAACTCCAGACATTTTCTACAGGTTATTAGAATAACTAGTTTTAATTATAAATCCAGTTTTCATAGTCCATAAAAATGAAATAAAGTCTTTTTGGCAGACCCTGTTATCACAAGCTATCAAATATAATTTTTAAAAATATTTAAAAACATGCAAGTATTTATAAACAAACAAGGGAGCTGTGGCAGCAAAATTGGCTAGGCCTCCCTAGTAGCCGAAAGGTCTTTGGTTCAAATCCATGTCTCAATGGATTTTATACACAAAATGAGACTGTCTCCCAGGCTGATCTGGCTTAAAATGACTGCCAGAAAAGAGTTAAGGGAAATAAAGGTGACCACATCACCCAATGAGTGCCGACTGGTCTATTGCAGTGTGGGTCTAGCGACATATCTTGAAATGCTGTTGGCATGAAAAGTCTACTTTGGATCACATTTAATTTCTGTTAAAAGACAATATATCTAAAGCTATCTAGTCATCACTTACGTGAAGATTTGCCCTGGTCAGGTGCCATCAAATCAGGGAAAATGTAGGCCCCACAGGTAGAATAGAGCACAGGTGACTCACCTGGTATCAGTGGATACAACCAGTCCCCAACCTGATAATCATAACAAGCAGAGCAGAGAAAAAGATGGGTCTATGTAAGATTATTGATCAGGTATTAAAGACTTCAAACAACTGTAGGCGCAGTGTGGAAAATAATAGAACTTTTTTTAAAATATGCATTGTGTGTACCATTAAACAATTTTATTTATCAAAACTTTGGTTTTAAAATACATATGTAAGTTGTATAAAAATCCCCTTCCATTAAACTGCTGAAAAACATATTGTCATCAGCGGCTTCCTTCTGTTTCTTTGGCGATGAAGGTTTTAAAAACATTGTCTGCATCTGTCATTTCCTTAAAACCCTTCTAAAATGATTAATGACATTGTTAGTGAAGCCACGGGTGGTGCTGAAAACAACTGCTTTACTAACTGTAGTTATGGTAGATGCGGACAAATTATACTGCTCTCGCAAAAATAAGCTTGTCTTACTCATTTCTCCCCACAATCTTTTAATTCCTTTTGTGATGTTCATCTTTTGTCCTTTCTTAGTTTTCTTTGGCCTCAAGTTGGAAATTACATGCGATACCTAAAATATAAAATAATTTGAATTGTTTGTCCGTAATGCCTCTTGTAAGTATATAAACTAATTGTTTTGTTTCATTAAACATTCATCTAAATAGACACTATAAAAAGCAAGTATGTACGTGCAGCATGACTCACCTACACCTCTTGGTACACTGTATTCCAGACCAAATTTGTAACAACAAACATGCGCGCATGCATAGTGTATCATTGTTCCTATCTGGAATCTAGGTTCGTATATAGAGATCAAAATGTCATATGAAAACGTTTGTAGTTAGAAAAGTTTGTAGCTACAGCTGTTCATAAGATGAGGTACCACTGTATATTGGTCCATTTCCAAATGTACAGATTTTTAGTAGTGCAAACAAAGAGGAAAATCTCTAGTGTGATGGTACAGCATACAATGGGACAACCTTCTGCAACTGAAGATTATGAAAATACAAAATGAAAGTAGGACTGCATATCCCCTGTAGGAGTTGTGTCTTACATGTGGACTGTTAAGATGATCCAAAAAGATTTGAAAGAGACAGTTATCACTGATACATTCAATATCTGCTGAGTGAGACACAACAATTAAGACTGTGTCCCAAGTGCTGTTGGCATAAAAATAACGTATAAACTGACAGGACTTGTGTGGGGTTCCGAGGCCCCATTTTAAGGAACAAAAAACAATAAACCTTCTGCCCCCTAGGAAACATGTCATAAAAGGTGAATTAGAAGTGCCCAAGAAGCAAGGAACCAACAATCTGCACTCAAATAAGCCAGATATAGATAACAGATTTGCATGCAAGACTCAAGTTCTGAAAGAAGACCAAAGTCCAGAAGTGGAAGAACAACCAGAACTTTTGGCTACAGATTGCAGCCAGTGAATGTAAAGAATAAGTGACAGTAATACAGTGCGGAAAGCAAACATGATTACTCTACTGTAACAATATACAGTGAACTTAGCTGTACACAATATAGCAATAGCTGGGCAGTCATACTGAGCTGTAATGCATGGATAATGTTTGAAACACATTTCTAAATTGATATGCTGGTCTACGAAGCAGCAATGAAACCTGTAATTGTAGAGATGTTTCAGAAATTTTTTGTTTCTCATTTTGTTTAGGCTCTTCTATTCTCTCAAGCAAACATTTACAAAGATTAGGAAAACAGGTAAAAACTTAAGTGAGAGATTAAGAGTGTCACAGAAGGATGCAGATTTCTGTAACATTGCTATATTTACTTGCCTTATTGCAGCTGTATAGTCCAACATGTTACTTAACACCAATAATAAACAGTCACATGACTTTACTCAACAATAGGTTAGTGAATACTTTTTTCATGATGACAACAATTTGCTGAGATGCCCGACCACAGTTGACAACTTACATGTAAGAATAACGGCCATGGTTTTCCCAATGTGTTCTGCATCGGTGACTCATCCTTCAGTCTAACAATGTGCACTGGTAGTAAATCTGATGGGCTACAAATTGCACCGCCTAAAGAGATGTTGAACACCCTAGCAGCATCGACAGTAGCTAATGTTTCCGCACTGACAAAGTCAGAACTGCTGATGTCCTTCCTCTTAAGCTGTTCTCCCAAAGTCACAAGATCACTCATAATGCCACATAATTACCTACACTTTACTGCGGCTTAGTCACGGTGACATCGCATGACTCATGGATCTTACCTGATTGACTGAGAAGAAAAAAAGATAATAATATTCAGTCATTTCTTGATCTGATCATTAAAATTTGTATTGTGAACCAAGTGGAACACTGGGAAACTGATTTAGATTATTAGCAGTAAATATTAAAACAGCAATTAACAGACCAGTAAAAAAGACTGAAGATTATCTACAAAAGTTGAAATTGTATATTTCAAAATAGCTTCCCATTGAGAATTCTGTCACATTTGATAAGCCCTGATAAATGTTTGTATTTTATTATCAGACTTCCATTACTGCCTGCATTTATCACTTCTGCAGTGTAGGCTAAGGAAGAGGGTCTGCAGTGTAGGTCAAAGAAGAGGGTCTCCAGTGTAGGCCAAGGAGGAGGGTCTGCAGTGTAGGCCAAGGAGGAGGGTCTGCAGTGTAGGCCAAGGAGGAGGGTCTGCAGTGTAGGCCAAGGAAGAGGGTTTGCAGTGTGAGCCAAGGAGGAGGGTCTGCAATGTGAGCCAAGGAGGAGGGTCTGCAGTGTGAGCCAAGGAGGAGGGTCTGCAGTGTGAGCCAAGGATGAGGGTCTGCAGTGTAAGCCAAGGAGGAGGGTCTGCAGTGTAGGCCAAGGAGGAGGGTCTGCAGTGTAAGCCAAGGAGGAGGGTCTGCAGTGTGAGCCAAGGAGGAGGGTCTGCAGTGTGAGCCAAGGAGGAGGGTCTGCAGTGTGAGCCAAGGAGGAGGGTATTTTTAAGCCTGAGGATATAGGGACAAATGGTTAGTGCTGTTGCCATGGATTGTGCAGGGTAGGATTTCAGTTGTGCCCTTGACAGAAAACAAAACCAATAACCTTAGTAAAGATTCAGACGTGGGTGTCCCACATGAGACCTCAGCACCATCTGGCCAGCCGCTTATCTTGTTTTTTTTTTTTTCACTTTTTAAACCGCAATTAAATCTGATTGTTCTTGACCTTCCTAATCCCTACACGAGTACTGATTTGTTATAAGAGTTAAATATTTAAAGCAGTTTGGCATTTGATTTAATTTATTTTGTCCTCCATAGACTGTTTCGCCTAGAAGGCTCATCTTGCTTGTTCTCCAAATACTATTTACATTGCTAATGAAGACATGCATGATTCCTTTCTCATAAATCTTTCATCTAACTGTTGTAACTATAATCAAGTGTGTTTAATTTGTTTTACCTCAAACTCATTCCTAGAGTTCTCTCTTCGTTGATAAGTTAATCAGATATCCAGATACATTTTTGCAGGATATAATGGTGGGGGAGAGTTTGTAAAACTGCTATATTCAGAAGTATCTCAGCTCATTTACACTAGATACTTCTAAGTGACATTATTAAAACACTAATTAGGAGGTATACTGTGGAGGTTAATACAGCGACACAGAACACAAAGAAAAGTAAAAAATGAATTCAGAAGAAGTATGCGTAAGAATTAAACTAGCTTAGGTGATCATGCCTTTCCATAATTTTCGATTTCATTCATAATTTATCAGTTCATGTGCCAACACTTTTCCAGGCCATAACTAAAGGCCGTCAATTTCTTTTTTTTTTGGGGGGGGGGGGGGGGGGGGGGGAGGGGGCATTGGTTGTCTTCCCATATCTCTCTTTCCAAAAATCATCCAAGCCAAAAGAGACTGCCTTTCCCGATATTTTTGATGTTATCTTCAGGCCCTCGAGTGTTTAAAATATCTGGATTACCCACGTTGACTGTCTAAACAGTTGTAAACATTCTTCTGTAAAATCATGTTTCTGTGGTCCTAAGAAGTTGTTTGGCTTGTTTAATAATTGTTCACGTTTGGCAGTCGTGTAGTAAAAATTGCACTTATTCAATTTCTAATCTAATTTGACATGGGTTTATTGCATATAATTATCTTATGCAATAAACCTATGTCAAATTAGATTAGAAATTGAATAAGTGCAATATTTTATAAAATGCATATCTGCCTGTCCTATTATGTTCGTTATCTCTATTTCAGTGTCATACATCGTTCATCCGACGTCATCCGCGTGCCTAGATAACTTATGTCCGTGTTCCAAGATCAGGCTCTGACTTGTACGCTGAGAAACTATTCTTTTCTTTGATATCAACGTTTCTCCAGTCGTCCTATTATTCAAGCTGGGGCCAATTCTTGATTGACTGACGTTCAACTACACCAGAACAGCACACCGAGCGATAAACACCTGGTGACACAAAGCGCTACCATTCGGATGAGGATCACTCAGGGACAGATACCACTCAGGAACCTCGTTCAACCACTAGGGATTATACTGGGCCCCCTGGCAACAGCCGGAGTGGGGTTTAAAAAAAAACACACGAAAAACTGCGTCCGATATTGGGACGGTACTACTAGTGAAGTTAATTTTGACTACAATAACAAACTGCCTACCAATTCATGTAGTTCTTATGGAAACTGCAACAGGCCTAAGTAGGCAACTTGGTAATAATCGTCACCTTTAATTTAAATAATACCAAGTTTCTCAAACTCTAGAGCAAAGCTCTACTGATCTAATGTGAGAGACTTGTGTTAGCACTGCTCTAACAATAAATTATTGACTACACGGATTGATGTTCCATCGTTTCCCAGAACATTTCACACCTTCCCGTCCAAAACTCCTGCAGGGGAGGTCACTGCTAGCTAGAGGCCAGCTTATTGACATTGAGTGAGCCTAATAACATCAACTTAAAATTGTTTATAGACAACAGGAAACTCTTTCCCCCTGTCCAACACACACAAGGAGCGTTACAAATATTGTACAGATTATCTGAGAAAAAAAAAAAAGAAAGCAAATATTGTAGCATGCTTTTAATCTCAAGTGGAATATAATTTACCACAAATCATTCTGCAAGTACAAAGTGGCAAGAACTACAGGGAAAACGTTTACAAAATCGATTCCGTGCTTGCAATCTGAAAGATTGACGTACAGTTGTTACTCATGGAGGTGCTCTATGCGAATGCAGATTTAACAGGGGCAACTCCTAGAGGTCAATATCCTTGAAGGCCTTTTGAAAAGGGGCCAAATATGTGGACGTCCAATGGAGCAGAAATATCAGCGACACTGAAAAGTACTTTAGACGAAACGAACAGAAGGACCCGTTCTAGAGATCTTTTCCTCTACTGACGCCGCAAGGCATTCCAGGAGTAGAGAAAAGAAGAACAAGTTAGAGGTTAAAAATTAATGACAAACCATGGAAATAAAAAATCTTCGAAGTAATAAATAGTGCGAAGCTTGCAGAGAGAACATGTTTCAAAGAATCAAAGGATTCAGAGGATTTTCAAAGGATCAGTCGTGATTGTAACTGTCACAGAAAGCATGTTGAGGAAGGCGCGGACAGGCATGCATCGTGCAGAGTGGCAAGCTTCGCTTTGGAGGTCACTGGTGAGGAGCATTGTCTGGATCTTTTGTACCGGGTATGCAGGATGCTGGGAAATGAATAGGCGGATAGACTGGCTGGCTTCGCACAACTTGATGGTATACTGATGCATGATGACGCAAATGTGGTCAAGGCCTTATGGGAGCACAAATCGGAGGAGCAAATGGATCCTCATAGTCTGGTAAGAGTAATGCAGTGAGGGGTGACGAAGGGATCTGGTAGTTACTCGACGCTCAGAGGAAAGGCAAGACAGAAGCATAATCAGACTGCTACTGGCGCAATTGTTACTGGAACTCTGGGCTGACTTCTGATGATGAGGACGGAGTGCTTATGGGAATGCCTCGAGTGATGTCGGTCCTTGAATCAACTAAACTCAACTCAAAGAATCAATGTGGCAAGAATATATATTGAATCTGAATAGGACACACACTGGGGAATGAGTGAATGAATGAATGAATGAATGAATGAATGAATGAATGAATGAATGAATGAATGAATGAATGAATGAATGAATGAATGAATGAATAAGAATTGACATTACTGCACTAGGGACAATTCCATATGTGTTCCGTTCTTTTCTTCAGGAGCCAATAAAGAGTCGGCAGACCACTAGTACTAAGTGTAACCTGATTGAAAGTCCGCCTGTAATTCCGTCCTGGTGTTGAATATCTTCCAGAATCATGATCTGGGTTTTATCAAGTGATGCAAGCCACTCTGCGAGCAGGACGCAAGTTTCACTTTTCCGATGCATGCTCTGGGAGTTTGTTACAATTACATTTCGGGCTGTGTCGCCCTCTAATCATCTTTGCTGCCTTCACCTCAATTCTCATAGTGGATTTAGTGACGTTGTATGTGAGGTTCTCTGTCTTAATGTCTAAGGGGAGGGGGAGGGAGGGGGGATTGATTTTTTTTTTTGGGGGGGGGGGGGGGGGGGAGAAGAAATAATTTGTTGGTTTAGGCTTTTTCTATGCAAAAATCAATCCCTGAAGAAAACCTGAGTGGGAAAACACGAGCAGTAAAATCACCAGTACTAACGGCCTTTCACAGACTGATCTCTATTTTTTCCCTTTACTAACTTGAGTGTTCTGCAAATCCTAATAATTAATTTGTCACGGAGAGTACACTAAGCACTCAGCTTTAGGTTATACATGCTCACGTCTGCTGTGTGAAAGACAGGGGGACTGGGAATTGATCATCGGGTACGAATGTTTTGTCAGTGATTTCAGCACATTACTGCTA